CAGCTTCCAGGGCCTGAAGGGGCTCCAGGAAAGCTGGGGAGGGACTTGGGACAAGGGCAGGGAGGGAGAGGACAAGGGGGGATGGATGAAAAGTGGCAGAGGGAGATTGAGGTGAGACATGAGGAGGGAATTGTGGAGTGTGAGGGTGGTGAGAGCCTGGCCCAGGTTGCCCAGGGAAGCTGTGGCTGCCCCATCCCTGGCAATGTTGAAGGGCAGGTTGGATGGGGCTTGGAGCAACCTGGGCTGGTGGGAGGTGTCCCTGCCCATGCAGGGGGGTTGGATCCTGAGGATCTTGAAGGTCTCTTCCAATCTAAACCATTCCATGACTCTATGAATTATCACTGAAATCAAGTATCATACTCGGTAGAACAGATCTCTCTGTGTCAGACCTTGACACATCCAGACACTGCCCCACATTCCAAAAGAAGCCTTTCCTCTCTGTATTTTCATCATCTTTTTGCTTTGCTCCAGTGGAAAGCATCCCTGCCTCTGCTGGAACAGTGTGATGAGGGGTCAAAGTGTCTGAGCTTTGCATCTCTCTACCAACCTCCAGCAAAACCTCTGTGAAAAACCAGGTGGTAACTCAGCCCCACAGGATGGGACAAAGGGGAACTAACCCAGACCCATGGGTCCCTCAGGTCTGTGCCTTCAGAAATCCACCTGAGGCAAGAGGATGGAGCACCCACACAGGAAGGAGACCTCAGGGGACCAGATCAGGGGACAGGATCAGATCAGATCAGGGGACCAGACCTCACAGGACAAGCTGGCATCACACCAGAGAAGAGCTTTGTAGCACAAGGCTTGGACTGGAGCCTCCATGTTTGCCACGTCCAGTTTGTCCCAGTGCCTGCTGCCAGGCAGGAGGAATTCATGCTGCTGTAGAGGTGAGTGTGTCCTCCACAACCCCCATGGGCTGCAGAGCTTGAGGAGAACCTTTGGCAGCTTCGCTGGTGGATAAAAATACTCTGCACCCTGGCAGCCAACCAGCTTGGAGCACTGGTGGCTTCCACCCTTGCAGGACACCCCTTCTCTACACATGCTTCCTAAATTAGATCTCCTGGGACCAACGTTGGCTTTTTAAGAGAGAGGTGAGCTTGTTAGTGACCAATGTTATCCATTCAATGGGAATCAGCAGCTTTTATTAGACTTGGAAGTGGTGTAAAAGGAGAAGAGGGAGGGCACAGCATCCTGAGCCCACTCACCTCCCCAGTGGAGCCCCTTGGGCTGGGACAGAGGAGTTTTCCCTGGGGAATTCTTGCAGGTTATTGTGATTGTTAAGTTCCCTTCTGCTGCTAAGTTACAGGAACTCAACACAGGAGCCTTAGGAAGGTGCAAGAAGAGAGAGACAAGGTTTGTAAAGGGCAACTTCCCAGTGGGCCCCTTTCCTGAGGCCAAGGAGAAAGAAAAGCCCAAGCTGGAAAGGAACTCTCTGAGGCCTGCCAAGCTCTCCACCCAGGAAAGTCAGGGTATGCAGGCTCCTTCCTGCACAATTCATACTTCTACTTACACATTCCCTGTCTGCCCTCAGCTGTGCTGCTGGCACATAAAAAGGAGCTAAAAACCACTGTCCCAGTGCCCCTTGTGATTCCCTTCCCATAGGTCCCTCCCACAACATGCTCAGGGATGAACTCTTACCTGTTGGGAAAGGATCTCCTGGAACTCTGATACAACAAAGTGAGGAAAAGAATTGCTCCAGGATTTTAAGGATTAAGCAACTCTGCCTCCCTGAAATAAGTAACAGAAATGCTTGGGGATTTTTTCCCCCTCAAATAGCAGAATTCACAGCATTCCAAGAAAATCAAGACGTGGACTTTTGTCCCCTTATGTATATTCATTTTTTTTTACCATGGCAAGACCTTTGAAAGGTGCATTCCTGACCTACAGAGGTTACTGAGCCATTCCTTGCTCTGAACTGCCCAGCCTTCCCATCCCACAGACCCAATTTCACCCCACACACCAGGGAATGAACCCAAAGGCTGTTTGACTTCTACAACTGCACCAGGATAGCCCAGGTGTTCAGCCCAGCCAGTCTGGAGTCTCTTTTAGTGGCTCTAGACCACGGCACGGACACACAAAGGCCGATTGTCAGCGTGAGGCCAAAGGGAGCTGACACTTTCCCAGGGCAAAAAAATGCCTTTGCTGTGTGTTTGGAAGGTTACACAGCTGTAAGTCTGACACAGAAGGAGTTGAAACCCTGGAGGGGTTATTGCCTCAAACACATATGTGCTGTGGAAGGAAGCTCTCCCGTGGACTGACATACCATTAACTCCTGCTGCTGGGAGCCCAGTCCTACAGCTGGGAGTCCTTTACAGCCACAAACTGCTCCTTGCTTGTCCTGCAGATAAAACTCCTCTCATCCCTGACCTACTGACTCAGCCTGGCTTGTATTTGTTTGCTCATTTTATAAGAAACAGGCTCTGCTCTCAACTGATTATTGCTGGGAATCCTGGTGTGGATTCCCCACGCTGGACAGTATCAAATAGTGGAGCAGGAGAACTGGGACTTGGTCCAACAGGATCTGTCTGTCTTCCTGGGGAAAACAAAACAAAAAAGAAAAGTAAATAAATTTTTTTAAAAAATAATAAAAAATGTCTTGCTCTACATGCTTCCAATCGTGCCATCAGCTGGAGCAAAGTGGAACTTCACTGCATGAGATGAACGAGCCCTTCTCCAAAATGCCTTTCAGGCCTTTCATGACCTTTCAAGCACTGCCTGGTGAAGGTCCTGGGGCTCTCTGGAGGGCAGGAGGACAATGCCCAAGCCCCTCAAAAGGCTGGTAAAGGTGCCAAGAAAATCTGCAGGGCAGCTAAGGCCTGTCCAGGCACCCAGCAAAGCCCAGAGGAAGCCTTGGTGCTCTCTGGAGGGCAGGAAAGCTGAACATAGAAAAGGATCCAGGCAATTTTGGAGAGCAGCAGGTCTCCTTGTAGGCACCTTGTAGGTCCTGGGGGTGTCTGGAGGGCAGCAGGGTTATGCCTGAGCCCTGGCAGAGCTTGGGAAAAGCCCCAGGGAACACTGGACATCATCATCAAGGCCTCTGGAGCACCCTAAGAAAGGGCTGTGCTGGGGTGAGGGTACTCGAGGGGCTTTGTGTGTCTCTTCGAGCTCCTCTGCCTCGTCAGACCACAGGTCATAGAATCCCAGGCTGGTTAAGATGGGAAAGGAGCTTAAAGATCAGGTAGGTGCTCCCAGGTCAGAAAAGAAACCCAACCACCTTGGGCTGTCCCCACAGAAGTGTCCAAGACTTGAAACTGCTGGTGGCCCCTCTTGCTTGGGGAAACCATGAGGGTCTCAAGATGGGAGCTGAGCAGAGCACAGGTGGCATCAGAGGGCAAGGAACTGAACAGTCACCTTAGAAATGAAACGTAGGGTTGTTCTTCCATCCTAGTGTTAGAAACATAGTATTGGGTTTGTTGGTTTTTTATATCTATACACCAGTGTTAGGGATTAGAATAGTTTGAGAGAAGTGAGATCTCTGCATGTTCCAGTGACACCTGGGGGGGTTTATGGCCCAAGCAACGAGGGACTGACTGGGGCTCCATCTGGGGGTCCCAGCACGGGGCAGGATCGATGGCCAAGGTCAGACCCAACAAGGCCCCTTCTGTCCTGCTCCTCGGGGCAGGAGGGCACCAGTGGGTGCAGATCAGGGGGGGGATGGGGAAGGCGGCCAAGGGGGCAGGAAAGGGCAGAATTAGACCTGAAAAGGTGAAAAGTACCTGCTAGAATGGAATGTGTGAACAGGGGGGGAACTTACAGGATCATTAGAAGCGTGGGATGGGCTGTGAACCCTGGAGTGCCCAGCCAGGGGGAACCAGGGGAGGGAACGTTGGGAACAGGGAACAGAACCCGTTATTCACCTCCCTATGGGTGTGCCTGCTTGTTCAGGGCACCCATTCCTGGCAGGGTGTCAATAACCTGTGCTTGGCTGCAGGAGCCCTTTGGGCCCGTTTGTTGGTGCCACAAACATTTCTCACACTATTTTTAGGCCATAAGTTGAATTTCAATGGCTCTAATCTTTACATGGGGAGTTGGCACAGGGTTTCTGCTGTTGTACTTTATTTATTCTTACTTCAAATTGCAGCTGCAGTGATCATCAGTCTGTGTCTGGCAAAAGCAAAAAACCCACAGGAGAGACAAGAGAAATCGAAATGATTTTGCACAAAGTGCGGGACTGACGTGCTGAGGAGGAGTGGGCAGACATGGACGTTCAGGAACGAGGCTCACAGCAGTGTGACCAGTGACACATGGATGTGGAACCCTTCTGTGAAAAGGAATCTTTGGGTGTGAATTGTTCAGAGCCCTGTAGGAGCAGGAGAGTCTGTGTGAGGAGTCAGATGGGCTCAGTCATTCATAGTGTCCACTTTCCTGCGTGGGCAGGGACATCTCCCACTAAATGAGGTTGCTCCAAGCCCCATCCAACCTGCTCTTCAACACTGCCAGGGCAGCTACAGCTTCTATGGGCAACTTGTTCCAGTGTCTCACCACGCTCACACTGAAAAATTTCTTCCTCATATCTCATCCAAACCTCCCTCTTCCAGTTTTAATCCATCCCCCCTTGTCATCTTACTCCTGCCCTTGTCCCAAGTCCCTCCCCAGCTTTCCTGGAGCCCCTTCAGGCACTGGAAGCTGCTCTAAGGTCTCCCTGGAGCCTTCTCTTCTCCAGGCTGAACCCCCTAACTCTCCCAGCCTGTCAATGGTCCAGTTGAAGTTCCGGGGTCGGTGGGAACCTGTGCCCTCCCCTCTGCCCATGCCCAGGGTCCCCTCCAGCCTTGCAGCCAACAAAGGGGCAGCTCAGATGCATCACGGAGAACACGACAAAGGCAATACAGGGACCTCAGCCTCAAGATGGTTTATTGCCTGTTTCTGGAGGGTCTTCCCAGTAACTGGTGGCTCTGTGCTGCTGGGGACACAGGGACTGAGTGGCTGGGGCAGGGGGGGGGTCCCTTGGTGGGACTGGGGAGAGGAGCAGGATGGGGAAGGTGACGCTGTTCCTGCCTGGCCTGTCATGGCTCCATCCAGGGTGTCCCTGAGGCCGGCAGGCTCCAGGCACTGACCTCCCCGGAGTCTGTGAGGTCCTTGGCAGCCACCTGGATGTGGTGGAGGGTCCCAGGTGGCACCTCTGTCAGGATGTGTGAGGTCTGCTCGTACGGCCCGATCTAGGGAAGGAGCAGGGTTAGGGGCACCTGGAGCCAGGACAGAGCCACGCTCGGGGATGTGTCCCTCAGCTGTGCCTCAGTTTACCCCATGTGGGATGCAGCAGGGGGTGGGCAGTACCGTTTTGGTGACAGAGCCCCCCTCCTGGGCATAGCGGATGAGATATTTCAGTGGGAAGTATTCTGGGAAGGGCCAGGACCCTGGTGGGCTCCACTCCAGCAGCAGCTTCTTGGTCTCCCCTGGGATAGGTGAGACCTGCAGGTCCTCAGGAGGGTCTGGCTTTACTAACAAAGCAAGGAGACAAGGGGTGAGGGGGTCTGGGACAGGGCTGCTGGGGGACAGGGACAATGTGTCCACCAGCCCCATTGACTGAGCTGTGCCATCTGGGCTGAGACCCAACAAATCATCACAGTGATGTTTCCACAGCCCATGTCGGGGAGCAAACCGGGGAGGAAAGGCCCGAAGGAAACCCCAGGGCTGGATGAGACCCAGGCGAGGGGTCTGGAGCAGGGGAGGGGGGTGGGTCTGGGGGCCCAGCAGCACTCACTGATGTTCTCCAGGAGGAAGGGCAGGAGGTGGGAGGCAGTGCCCAGGGGGTTCAGAGCCGTCACGTTCAGCACGTAGGGAGTGAGGGAGAACACCTGCAGGTCCCCGAAGGAGCAGCTCCGTGGCCCCGTGGGGACACCCTCCCCCTGCTCCGTGTGTCCCCCCACGCC